ACCAAAAGAAAAAAGGCAAAAAATAATTTCTTAAAAATTAAATAAAATATAAAAAATAGTTTTTTTTTTTAAGCAATAAGTTCTAAAAACTGCCAGGGAATTAAACTAAGAAAGGAAAAAACGAAATCATTAAAAGACAAAGAGTATGTTGCTAAAAATTAAGTGAAATTAAAAACAATATTTTTCGTAAAAAACAGACTAAAAATCAAATTAAAAAAAGCAAAAAGAAAAAATTTAATTAGCTTATAAAAATTAAATTAAATTTAAACAAGTAATTCTTAAGCAAAAAAATATAACCGACTTCAAGTCTGATATATAAATTTAGGTGTACCGTTAATTTCTTCATGATCAAATTATCGGATCTAAACCAAATTAATATGGGACCACCCTTGACATATTTAAACAAAAGAAACAAAAAACATTTCGACGAACTGATAGTCTCTTCTCGTTTTTGAAGTCGGTGAAAGAAATATATATAATTTGCTTACAAAAAAGAAATAAACAAATGCTGCTGTCCGAGAACTCGGAACTCCGATCTCTCGAATGTCACGCGGAGCTCCAGCAAAATGATATACATACATGTGATTTCTGGCAAAAGAGGTTGTCACCATGAAAGTTGACAATGTAGATTTTTTTGTAAAGTTTGTAAAGCAGGAATCAAAAGATTTATACATTTAAAGGGTATTAAAGACGTGCATCCACAAACAAGTCATTATTGTTGTTTATGTTATTCCCAGTGCATGCATACATACATATGTATGTATGTGCTGTTGCAACCGCTTGACTGTCCCATTCCAACAGTCGCACTCATCGACCGACCTCGACGCTGCTAGCAATGATCAATGATCAATAATATTGAAGTTGATGATTGTGCGATTGTGTTGTTTATTCACAAATTGATTCACAAACATTCAGCATGTCCGTCTACCCAATATGCATTCATACATTGTTGTTGATTTTTTACTATTTTCCTGCAGAACATGGAAACAAACGAGCGTTACCTTCATACATACTTACATGCATATACATCCGTCGTGTTGTTGCAGTTGTCGACTTCATAAAGTTGCAGTTGTTGAAAATCACTTGGCGCAACGGACACGATCGTCAAGCGTCGTAGCTACATTTTTCTTCATCTTCTTCTTCGCAACCTTCTCCATGTTGCTTCCTTCATGTATGTACATATGTATGTATGCTTGCAACGCATACAGGCAATTGCACTTTGCCTTTGGCAACCAGCCAGTTGGGCAGTCAGCAGGAAATCTTCACATAATCTAGGCTTATAATTCAATTAAAATAAAATAAATACCGACCTCCACTGTTGCTTTTGCTTGCTGCTGCTGAGAATGCAGGTCGCTGGCAGTTAAAAATCTCAGCTAGCTAGCTGTTGAGTGCATTAGAATTCATTCGCATGACTTGCAATTTAAGAGATACTTTTGTTTAATAAATATTGCCACTTTTGTAAGTTGGTAAGGAAGACACAAAGTCTGCGATGCTACAGATTTAAAGGGTGCCGTGGAACGTCTGTACATATGTAGAATTGGTTTATGTTGGAGCTTTTGTTGTTAACTGATGATGACTCAATAAAAATGCCAATAAAAATAAAAACAGTAACAAAAGAAATTATTCATGTACACATTTTTGACCGGAAATGAGCCGACTTTTATTTTAATACCAGTGGGGGCGCAACAGTTGTCTATTCAGGCCAATTGGTTTACAAATGTGGCAACTGAATTGATTAATATACATATAGTAAAAGTGATAGAATAAATACATAAATTGTTGCGGAAAAGATTCAATTGGAACAGGAAATACAGTTAATTTAATAAGTTCGAAGCTAGCCTCTGAATAATACCTCGACAGACTTGTATTGGTGCCATGCTACGCTGGTAACGCTGGAAACTGTGTGGGTAATGAATTCGCCCAAATCTGGCCAGAAGAGACACTTTCGAGCCACTTTCACAAGATGGGTCTCGTGTGAACTCAGCTCTGTGAAAGCCCGGGCAATTCTACTGCTAAGTCTTTTTGGTTGAGGGTGAACTGGAGACGGTATAAGTTTCTCCTGTATTGGCACGCAGTGATTTGAAACCCTTTTTGTCGCAGCTGCGTGAAGGTCGATGTGGTGGTTATCTCAAGATTTTGGTTCAGACACTTTAAATGGCACTTTCTAACCAGCTCGGAGGAGCTCTGTGAAAGCAACATCTGGCGCCAGCGAAAGTTCGTTCCCGGCACTCAGTCGTTTTCGCTATAACGTAGCAGTAATGATATACCAAGGACCAATGCTTATATGGCTCACCATCCTTAACCTAACCATGACAGTCCGATGTACTAGGTATCTGCTTTCGTAAAAAATGCTAAGGGTACCTTGGTCTCAGGCTTCCCAAAGCTGACACACAATGAGCTTCGACATCTCTTCATCTTCCAGACAAAGGCGGCTAGCATTCCAAAGCTAGATATCCAAAGATCCGTGTCTGTCTAAGACCCCATATACAGTACCTACTGCGTTTTAATTTAACCTATTTGGTATTTGTATATCTCGAAGAAGACCACCTACAAGGACAGCTCACAGTAACCAGAACGTCTTCTATCATCGAAATATCCAGGGCTGGCTCATCTGCCATTTTATTACCGAATGCTGTTATTCTCCGGCAGCCTTAAAAAAGCACGCGTCCAATCGGAAAGTCATTAAATGCAATATTTCTGAAATGATACAGTGAAACCTCTCCTAACGGACACCTCCCTTGGGCGGACATTTTTTCCTATACCAAGTTTTAAGTATAAATTTCGGAACAAATTACTCTCTCTTAAGCGGACACTCTCTTGGCCGGACGCGGACAGTTATTTTGCATAAAATTTACACAAAAACTCTATTGGGCGGACGCGAACCTCAATGTTTTCTCAGCATAAGATTTGGTTATAATTACCAAAAATTGTGTTGCGAGAAGGACTGACTTTTTTCTTAGTGTTTGTCTTTACAGTGTTTTGGGATTTATAATTTTTGCTTTTAAATCTTCCGATAAAGTTGCATATTGCGAAAATATGTCCTTATGATGAGGTAATCTCCAGGTATTTATTTGAGTAACTATTTTCATAGGCCTTATGAAAATTTTCGAAAAAATTTTAATTTTCGATGGCGATTATGAGCCATATGCATAGCCCGTGCTTCTGAACGACGGCTTTTGTAACAGATAGCAGTCTTTTTCCATGATGGTTTCCTGCTAAACTTCGAAAAATAAAGGATTTTATAAATTAAGACAGCTCGATGTTGTTTTACACCGCTGCATTTTATCTTAAGGGGTTTGTTTTATACGTTGGATCAAAGACTCATTGATATTTGCGAGTTGAGCAGCACACTTTACCTCATGGCACCCATGTGCCGTTAGCCCTGGCCCTGTTTGATTTTGAGCCCATTAATATACTTCTACATACTTTTGAAATAACAACAAATTTGTTTAATATTTGATTTAAAAATTGTTTTAATATTTTTTCAGTATTTCTTTTTTGTTTTTATAATTTGTGTTAACTATTTAAATTTTAGATTCATTACAATTCGTTTAATTTCGTTTTAATATTAATTGTGGCAAGTATAATCTATTTACATGTTATTATTTTTCAATATACACTGTGTACTTTGCTGTTAATATAGTGTAACTTAATTTTTTTATAATTTGGAGCATTTTTATTTGATTACAAATTTAAAAAACAAGAAATAAACAATAACAATTATTTTATTTTTTTTTTATTTATGCATATTATAATTATGATACATAAATAAGTAAGTCTGCATGTGTGTCACACTAAATATTTTACAATAGCTTATGTATGTAAATATTATTACAAAGGCGCTAAGAAGTAATTGAAAATACGGATATACATTCACACAATGGCCGATAGTTAAGGTACAAGAAGAGACAGGTTTTAGCGATAAAAAATAAGGAAAAATAAAAATTTTGCAGCGAGAACCGAATTAAACAAAATTATGCACAAATTAGGTCTCATAAAGGCATACATATGTATTTGTAGAATCAGAAATGCTTTAGTGCGTTTTAGTGATATTTAATTATTATTTTTATTTTATTTTAAAATTTTCAGGTGCCAGCAGAAGTTTATATACAGGGTTGTATTTATACATACATACATATGTATGTTGCCTTATATCTATGTAGATAATATTCCTTGTTGGTTTGTTTGTTTTGCTAAACTTAACAAATAAAATTGATTTAAAGTAAATTCTAATAAAATCCTAAATAATTATGTATTAAGGAATGTTATAGTGTGTACTTAGTTAATCTAAATAAGCTAACTTTTTACATGGAAATGGAACCGTTGCGCCGGCGCATACGCGTGGGAGAGTCACACTTTGAGTGTAGTCGCCTGTAGTCGCCTGGCAAACCGGGCTGCTTGCCGGATTTCAATTGAACTGGTTGGGTGTCTTTACTTTTTTTTTTGCTTTTATTAATTAAGAAGAATTTTTACTAAGTCTAAAGTTAGAATTGATTTGTGTTGCTCTTGCAGCATTCGCTTCTCTTTTATGATAAATTTAATGGACTCTTGAACTTAGCGCTTTTTTGCTTCATACAATACATTAATGGGTCCTTAGCTTTCATGGCATTGCACTTCAATGTAACTCTATTCACTCAGTATTCATTAGTTCAATGCTTACCGGACAAAAAGCGCTAAGTCGACTTAAAAATGGTTTTGTCGAAAACTGTACAGAATTTAACGAAGAGCTGCAATTTTTCCCTCTTATTCGCGAAAAAAAAATTTACTAAAATAGTTTTAGCATTTAATACTGGCATACCCGCAGTAAAATTACTTGGCATTTTTGTGGTCTGCCGTAAGTTTAAAACACTTTAGGTATTTTCAAGCTATTTGCTTATAAATTGCGTATAAATTTTAACCCGTTTCGTGGACGTTTTCCTTTTGCATTTAATTTGCTTAAATTTTCTTTTTAATTTTGACTAGGACGTTTTTGTTTTTTGATTTTGTGTGTGTGTCGAATTTTATTTGAATTACTGGGCTTTAGTTTCCATTAATTTGTATTTTTTTTATAAACAAATCACGCGCTTTTACGTGTGTATTAGATGCGTGTTTCCGATGCCACCAAAATACGTAGACTGGAGTCCGCTTTAATGGTGGTTCAAATGTTCCAGTCACACTTCACTTTGCATACAATGCACACTGGAGTCCTGTGAGAGTTCATCCATGGAGGATTCTAAAATGAAATAAAAATCGAAAATTTGTTGAATTAGAAATTATTTGAAGAACATATAGACGGCTGAGTGAAAGATCAACCTATCTCGGCAGCCAGGTCGAAAACGTCCTATCTCAGAAAACTTTTCAAAAATGCACTATTTCAGAATTTGGTTCAAAACGTCCTATCTCAGCTGCCAATTCACAATTTCAACATATTTTCAATATATTTTCAGTTGGGATAGAACGTTTTTCAATCAAATTCTTAAACAGGGCATTCTTCCACCAAATTCTGAAGAGAGACGTTCTTGAAAAGTTTTCTGAAATTTTTTTGTTGGCGGTGTTATGCATTTTCCTCTAAATTAAACAAATTTTCGAACATTTTTCGTATGGGAAAAAGATAGACACCGTCTAAAAAAAGTGCCAAAAATTAACGGTATTTTGCTGCCTAAAACTTGTACTTTATTTTATAAGAATTGAGTACCTAGGCTTTAAAACTGCATACCCAAAAATGTTCTAAACTTCTGAATAGAAAATGTGGAATTTTTTTTTAATTTTTGTACAAAGTTTCAAATTTGGATTAATATGGTTTTGTTATAGAGAGAACTATGTTCTAATAAAAAAAAATATTAAAATTAAATAATAAAAATAAATAGTCAAAACTTGGCAATATATACGACTTATTTGATTTTATTCGAACGAAAATTACGGAAACAGTCTTAAAAGAAAATCTCTAACGCTGAGAAGTAATTTTTAAGAAAAAAACAAAACCGACTTCGATTTTTGAGTAAAAAATTTAAGAGTACCGTTAATTTCTTTCAATTTATTATGAAACCACCTCTGAGGTGCCTTAATTCCCCATCGGTTAACGCGGTCCAAAGTTATGCGGTAACACATCCATAAAAAAATATTCCGACGAAACACAAGCATTTATACGTTTTCTGACTAGGATAATATTCAGGCCTAACAATGGCAGAATATAGCATACCCATCTACACTGATGGTTCAAAGATAGAAAAAGGAACCCATAGCACCTTTTAATCTGCCAACGACTGCACCGTCTCGCATACTGAAATTCATGCTATAATGAAGGCAGCTAGTCTTTTACTAAACAGCACGGGGTACGCAAATATCGTGACGCATTGGCAATACTGGGCGCTCTCAACGAGACTAAATACTATTTTTCCGAACATTGCTGATGAGGTGCCTAGGTATGGCTCTGAGATGCCCATACACCAGGAAGAGAATTTTATCTTACCGGTGTTTAATAACACTTATAAGAAAAATATTTGCATACACTAAAGCCATATACATAAATGACTTAGGTACGGACTAAACGAGATGATTGTGAGGTCTCAACGTCATTTTGTCTGTGACTATGTAGGACAAGAGGGAAGGAAGATCTTCTGAAACTTAAGAAATTTGTAGCTTGAGCATTTAGCAGCGTCACCACAGGATATCTACTGGGCGATGTTCCAGCGATGGCGAATACCAACGAAGGAAGGCCTTTTGTCGAGTCGACTCAAAAAGCTGCGTTCATTAGTTTAATGCCTTCGTTATTATTTCCTTCTTCTTTGTATGGAGTTTGGGGAAGCACTCACAAGGGGCAACTATGTCTGGAGCTTTCCAAACACGGCCTCCTAACCTAGCCTAACTTACTAGGCCACTAAGCCACAAGTAATTCATTTGTGATTTTAATAATTTCTTTAAAATAGAGTATTATATCTTTATACATATACATATGTATGTAGTATAAATAATATGCTGTTATACACACTTTTAGTCATTTTATTAAATTTGTTTTTCAGTAACTCACCATGTGACGGATATAATCCCTTCGAATTGCCATTCATGTGCATAGGATTTTGGGCGTTATTCTGAAATGAATACGTTAACTGCAGGTTAATGTGGCGGGCAAATGAGCTTCCTTCGGGTTCACGCACTGTAAGTGAATAAAAATTAAGATAGTTGGTAACATTTTTGTGATTTTTTTCTATTGTAGTACAAGAGTATTTTAGAATTAAAAGGTAATACCTTTAACATGCTTTGAAAGACAGCAGGGAAGCTAACTCGTGGGGAATTCCTCCGATTTGCGTGGAATCTCAGTTTGTGTGGGGATTAGGGAAATGGACAGTTTTTGTGGGGAATTTCAGGAACAACAAAAACTTCGGCAACCAAATTCTAAAACAAAAATTTTTAGACACTTTGCACTTGCACACTGTTGTCTGTATATACGTTCCACACACTTTAGTGGGAAAACGGAACGCCAAAGTATCCCGAAATGGAATCAGTAAACGGACAAAAATCCGCTCTATATCCACTTTTTGTCCTTTTTCGGATCGGTTTTCGGATATTTTGCTGGCTGGGGAGCGGCGACAACACACACATACCTACATAGGTATATGAACTTTTAGATCGCATAAAAGTACTCTTTCGAAATTATAAATCTCTAAGCGAAGATTCTCCCAATATTCAATTTTTTTTTANATATTTTTAAAAATTAAGGTTTTTCTGATGATTAGCAATAAAAATATGTCGCGTTTTTTTATTAAAGCCACTTAGAGACCGCTTTCAACTGTACTGATGTTAGAACAGGCACTAAGAAAATTACGATGCTGAGGTCGTAAGATGGCGGGTTAAGGAGTCCCAAATACGCTTACAATTAAAAGTCATTTTGTAAACGAGACACTACTTAGTTCCAAGCTTTAAAGTTGATGGCAAAAGGACCGCTATTCAGATAGCAATCACTAGTTCCTATAACTGACAAAAATTCTAACCTTTCCTTGCATTTTTTTTATATTTATGTTATAAGTGGGTCTTAATAGTCCTCTAAGATAGCCATCGTCCTCATTCCTTTTTTGGGGAACATAACTTTTGTGTGAGGTCCAATGTCGCCACCGACATGGCTTATATATATTGAGGCGGCCACGTCCACTGCTACGAATAAAAGCAAGCAGCTGGTAAGTTCTGGGGATGTGTTAAAGATCCTGAGATGGATATTATCGCAGATAACTTCAAAAAACCTACGAAATCACTGGAGATAATTCTCGATCTAGAGCCGCTACATCTCACCAAATAGCAGACCACATAGGTCTTACTATCTTAAAGCGTAAACAGACGGCAGCGTTGATCCCGATCAACTCGGGAATTAACTGCAGTTGATCCGGATTAAGTCCGAGTTAGTCCGGATCAACGCTGCCGTCTGTTTAAGCTTTTAGACTTCGTCTTGGATAATGGAAAAGCGAGGATTTCAGCTTCCACTAGTTCTAGTCTACAGAGATGATATAGCCGGAGATTTTTTTTTCAGAAGAAGTTTAAAATCGAGCTCTGCAGGAAAGCAACCTAGTATACAAAAGGATATATCCGAGCTAGCACTCTGCAGTGGTATACAGACGGCGGTTGAACCCCAGAAGGCAGACATCTATCACACCAGTATAAAGCTAAGTATTTGCTCCTTTTGGGAAAAGTGCCAAGCATTTTGTCATTGCCATTAGTCTGTGTCCAGTGTCTACTCAGGTGACCAAAGACAGACCACGAAATAAAGCAAGGACGCTATATTAAAACTCCAATCGCTCGAAATAGTACCTGTTTTTGGCATGTTTTCATTTCTTACTCATTTTTATGTTAAAAAGACCTCACATGATTTCTATGAAAATCTACTTTGGACGAACCGGAGGCAAACCAGATCGAAAAGATCAAAAGAGAAAATAAAACTTGAAACGACTTTACGGTACGGAGTTATCTGCACTCTTCCTCTCTCCTTCGCCTGCGAACGAGCAGACCTGAAGGCTGGTCTTGACGTATCTGAAAGGAGGCTAAGCAAAATTGCCGAACCCGGGGTAGTGAGCAGCCGCAAGTAACCGTAGCCGTCAATGCTTAGCGCTATGACGCCAAGACCCTTCTGGCCTGGATTTGAAGATGCCACACAGCGCGGTCAGTTATGGCTCTATTGCCCGAAAATTTCTCAAAACCAAGTAGTCAACTTTTTTTTACGAAACAATTGTTTGAAAAATAATTTCAACTCATTCTAAGCACTAAGCACTAGATATGCATTTTAGATACCTCAGAGAAAATAATCACCCGAAAGTAGCATTAAGCGTTTAAGCCCAAAATGATCACATAGCCAGCAAACGTACAATCAAAATGACACCGAAACAAGTGACATAAAGCCAACACTTTCAGACTTTTGTAAACCTCAATGTGGGCCTATTACAAGCAACTATACACAAATATGCTAAATGCATATGGCACAGGACGATAAGCTGCGCTATTAAGTAGGATTGTACATACATATGTATGTATGTACATAAATGCATATGCATGTAAATGTTTTGTATGGCCGGAAAGTGTACAAAACATGACCGAATGCCTACAAAGATGACATAAACTGTCCAGCACTTTGCACAGATGTAAGTCAGTGGCTGGCTCCAGCAAAAGTGTGTTTTTTTTTTCTTCTGATGAATGTTGCTTTTGTTTGTGCTTGTCTAAAAGCCATGCACTTGCATGCGATTTAGGGCTTAAAAGTGAATAGCGCGCAAACTCAAAAGTGCGTTAAGGTGGAGAGGAGGCACACATGCATACATAAATATAAACATGTAGATATGTATGTACGTTGCCATTTTGGCCAGAATACTTAAGCACCACCGAGCCCATGTTGCTTTTACAGTATTTAAGTGCAAAAGCCATGGCTAGTTGATGGGCTGCTGTTTCATAGAACATACAGAACTTATACACATGTACATATGTATGTATGTAGGTACACATAATAATGCATTTGAGTACTAAGAACTCTTTTTAGGTACATATATGTATGCTTGTTTGTGACGTCACATTTGGCATGCGTTGTTTTGACACTGCTTTTACAGTCAACCGAAGACATGTGACCAACTTACATAGTAGTACATACGAGCGTTACTACATATATAAATATTACATACTTGCATGTTTATAGCACATATGCTTTCCTATACCTATATACATAGTTCTAGAACCTAGCTACATCCACATCTTTCTACACATGTTGGCCATGTAAGGACATTACTCTCCTACATACATACATATGTACGCTACAGTCAAGCTCTCTGCATCCTAAATATTGATGTTAGCCTCTGATGTTGCTGTTCTGTTTGTATGTACAACATGGCTAAAATGTTCCAATGTTTTTATGCCGCAACAAAAGCCACTGCCACCCACCAACCTAAACCAATTTCCTGCTCGTACATGTTTTCAGTCTGCTGCCAGTTTCTACACATCCCGGTGGCAGTTGCTATTCAAAGCATTCACATCCAATTCGTCACGGCTACCGTTTGCGATTTTTGAATTGTTTCGTTTTCGTTTGATTTTTATGTGTTGAATTCTTGTGCGTATGTACATATGTATGTATAGCCACTTTTGCAAATAGATATATAGACATACATATGTACATTAGACTGCATCACCAAAAAAAGTTGCGGTTTTTCCGCCGGAATTAAAAAATTTATTATTGATGATTTCGTTAATTTCAAAAAATGTTGCACTACCCCGGTGCAAAATGTGTTTGGTGTTACACTCAACCATGTAGAATGGCATGTTTTTGCTTTTTTGTTTTGGCCTTGTCTAGCTCGCGCATTTCATTATATTGTCGTTTTAAGCAATCATCTGATTTTCAGGGCAACCATCTCACCTGACAAAGCGCAGAGAATGTGCTCTTTTTGTCTTTAAAGAGTGTGACATTTTAAGAAATAAACACAACATTTTAGAATCAATCACGAAAAGAGAAAGGTGCAATCAAAAATATTTCTGAAAAATATGAAGATTTACTTTACTTTTTGATAAAAATCCCCTCAGCTGACAAAACAAATTAAGCTTAAAAAATCTGCATAAAAATATTTAAAAAATTGTTCAACGGAATCGTAATAATGAGATTTTTATTGGCGTGTTTTAACTTTTTGCAAATATTGATTTACGACAACTTGAATAACTGGGACAAAACTATTACGATTTAGACTTATGAAGCGTGTGCAAAAAAACTCATTCACGTCAAAATGTTTTTTTTCAAATACCTTGTAATGACACTCGTTCATCCCACCTTGCTCCTTAATCCTTTGAATGAGTTATTAGAAAAGGAATAAAAAAGGTGGAAAATATCTTTCCAATATTTAATACCTCACAATTCTAAATCGGAATAGTTTTGGTATATATACCAATCTTTGAAAAAAGTTTAAAAACAGCATCAAAAAACTCATTATTACGATTCCGTTGAAAATTTTTTAACATTTTTTAAAAATATTTGTATGCAAATTCTTTAAGCTTAAACAGTTTTGTCATTTGATGGGATTTTTTTTTTTTAATCTTTAAGAAACTATTTATCTATTCACAAAAAACTCAAATTTTGGAGGTATTTTCAAATCGGTCCAGCTCGCGTAAATCTTAATAATTTTCCGAAATATTTTGGTGGAAGCCTTAAATATAGTAGATTTTATAATTCCAATGGAAACACAGTACCGATTTTTTTTTTTGTATGGGGCGTGATGCAGCCTAATGCGCATATGATTGTGCCGATGGACTCTACTCTGTGCGAACCTTTGTCTTTTCTTAAACTAAGTCCGTCTCAGTAATCGATAGATTTTGCCGGGACTAGAATCATGGTTGTTCTCAGCATTGGACATGCTTCCAATGTTTAGGACATACATATGTACGTACGATTAGAGAACCAAACATCGACTTGGACCTCTATACTGTTGCAGCCATAATAAGCACACATAAGGAATGCAAGGAAAGCTCAATTTCGAAAAGGTGCAATCACAACAGAAGGCCAGCTTATTCCCCGCTCGACTCCCACGCGTGATGTCAACAAGCCGACATATGCGGTACCGCCGCTGAGTCTAAGAAAATTTCTTGAATCTGAGAGACCAACCCTTCATAGAAAACTAGACAAGTTAAATTCTTTACCTATAGAAGGACGGACAGGGATCCTTTCCCCCATATTTTTATTAAAAGTTCATAATATTTAATTTAAAAGCAATCTTATCTTATTTTGTTGATTCTTTTCAAATTTAAATAAATACTGCAACTAGCTAAAAAGACGGTTAGGGGTCATTTGACTCTAATGGCAAACATTTATGTACAGTGGCGGTCAAAAATGGAGGAATGGTGTTTCGTTTTTAATATTTACAATATTCATGCTTTAACAAAAACGATATAAATTACACTTTAAAACTTTATACAGAATTTAGAAAAGTTCCACAAATTTTTATCTAAATTTCGAGCTTTTTAAACGGAATTTTTAGAGTTTTTTTTAGTTTTTTTCATATAAATAGCGAAATTTAGGTAAACTGACGTTGCCTTCTTTATTTTTTTTTTGCAAACGGTCTTGCGCATGTTCTTCCATAAGAAATTCAGATTTATATGGAAAAAAGTGCAAAACGCAGTCAACAAAAGAAAAAAAAAGTTATTAAAAACCAATGCGATTTTTTTAGCCGCTCAAAACTTGCACTTCTTTTACTACAATTTTATAAGCTTTTTAACTGCATACCCAAAAAATTTCTAAACATTCTGGTTAAAAAGCTCGAAATTTAGATAAAAATGTGTGGAATTTTTCTAAGTTCTGTATAAAGTTTGAAAGTGTGATTTATACAGTTTTTGTTAAAGCATAAACCATGTTTAAAAAAAAAAAAATAAAAATAAAAATTTTGCTTGGAAAACATTGTAAATATTAAAACCGAAACACCATTCATCCATTTGTGACCGCCACTGTATACTAAGTTTTGTTTATTAATTAAATAAGAAAATAAAATTAAAATTTAAATTTTATGTTCTTTTTAGAAGTAATCAATATTTTTTAATTAAAAATTATAACTTCAAGGCAAGCCGATGATACAGGATCTAGTGTTTTTTACTAAAACCAGAATATGAAAATGAAAATTAAATTTGTTTAAATGAATAAACCATTTTAGATTCAAATTTTAAGAATTTTGTTTGTCAAATGACCCCTGTCCTCCTTTCAAGTTATGTCGATTTTTCAGTCTTCCTAGAGTTAAACTACATTACAAGTATCTTCGATGACCTCCTAGCAGCTAACCCCCCCCAAAAAAAAAACAAAAAACCCACTTACCGTCACTTGATGTGGTGCCACCCTCGACCGTTTCCAGGTAATGCGCCTTACACAGCACCCGATCATCGATCAGAGCAAATTGTTCGCCGGTGGAGAGTTGTCGTCCGCATTGATCGCACGCAAAACACGCCAAATGAAAGACGAGATCGCGGGCGCGTCGTACCCAATCCGAGGCGGATATGCCACGACAGCATTTTGAACATTTCGCGCCGAAGTGTCTAAAGAAGAGGAGAAGAAATTAGATATAACATTTGTAAGAAGAGGGGGAAAAATGTATGGTTAAGAAAAAAATATCAAAAAGTAGATTAAGTGCAGCCTACACTAAGGCGCTATCATCAGGATTATCTGCAATGTACGCGCATAAGTGTGTTTGGTTAAGAATCATAAGCAGTAACACACCATATATGTATGTATGTATGAATATAATGTCTAAGTGGATATATATAGAAGAGTATGTATGCATGTGGGTATTTGCGTTTGTATGTTTTTGCATGTGTGGTGGCTTGCTAGTGAATTTGAAAAAGCGTCAAATCATGTCACAGCATTCAAGTCAGGGCGACGCGGCGCGGTGGACGTGCAAAGTGCGCGCGCACTTGTCGCCGGAAGTGGGTGAAGGAGCGGTGTTAGGTGTGCATAGATAGATATGTTTTCGCTGTGGACTTTACACTCGTAGCATAAAAATCCCCCTACGCTACATAGTACACATCTAACTACATACTTTATTGATTTCTGCCTTCAACGGTGTGTTTGTTTTTGGCCTTTGTACGCCTCGTCACACTTGACACTTTTCGAAATGAGTTTGCATTTTATAATGTGGCGATCTCAATCGATCGGATGGTATACTCCGCCGGTAGATATATGTACATACATATTTATACCTAAAGGTAAGCGGCGTAGTCATTCGCATTGGCGACATGTGCACCAACCAACGAATCTGATGTGTATCTTAGAGATATACATATGTACATAAAATGAAAACGTAAAACGAAAAATAACAATATTTATATCGCTGTGTTATTCTTAAGCTGATGCCAGATAAAACTTTGTAGCTTTGCGTGACATTTATAACTTTGCCAGCAAAGCGCCAAACGCAAAAGGTATGCCACAATGAACGCCAAGAAAACAATTTTGTACCGCTTTTTTACTAGTCAAAGTTGCTGTGGATTTCATATATTTTGCTTTAAAATTATCAGCAATGTAATTAAGTTTTATGTTTCTGCATGAAAACTCGAATTTGGACGAAACAAAATAAATATTAAACTGGCTGATTGTCAAAGCGCGCAAAAAGATGGGAGTTGGCCATCTTTTCGCTTCGCGCTGCAGCTTCGACGATTTATGTGGCATGCTTTGTGCATTTCCATACAATTCATCTTATCTGTCAAAGCGAATCTGTCACGTAAAGCGAAGCAAAAGTTTTATGTGGCATCAGCTTTAGAGTTGAACGCTTATTTAGTGTGGCTGGCACGTTTGTGTTTCCACAACAACGTAACATCGGCGGATATCAGCAGTAAGTCATTGCGACAACAACAGCCAACTTAAAATTCTTAACTTGAAAAATAAATATTTTTACAACAGCATCAGTCATTTTCATAACTTCTCTTTCGGTGCTCGCAACAACAACAATAACAACAAGTACGTGAATGCTTTAAGAGTTGCTTTGGCCCTGTAGACATTTCTGCTGCTATCCATATGCGTTCGTACATACCTATGTATGTATGTATGTACCCTTGTGGTCAGCTGATTAAGTCAAGTGACATTTCGACTAGTTTTGGCTATTTTTATTTTGTTTATTTAATGTTTATTTTTTTATATTTTTTATTTTTATTATGTATGTTACCGCATACTTGACTTGACACGTTAACCGATTTCCATAATTATTTTTTTAAATGAAAGATGGTACCTCACAGGTAGTCCCATATTAATTTGGTTAAAATACAATCATCGGGTCACGAAGAAATAAACGATAATTTTAAATTTTTTATATGAGAATTGAAGTCATTTTTGTTTTTCGCTTAAAACGTACTTGTTTTTTTTTTATATAAAATTCTAGCACTTTACAAAAATTATGAAAATTTAACAAACTTTAACATTTGCACCTGAAAATTTAAAACTTTTTATTTAAAATTTTAAGAAAAATGATGGGTATGCAGTTTTTAGTCCATTAATTTTTTTTGCTTAAAAATTACTTTTTTTTGTATAAAATTCTAGCACTTTACCTAACCTGCCCCACATAAATCCACATTTCAAACTTCGTACCAAAGTTATGAAAATTCAAAAAACTTTAGCATTTGCACCCGAAAATTTTTAACTTTTTATTTAAAATTGTTAGAAAAATTTTGGGTATGCAGTTTTTAGCCCACTAAATTTTTTTTTGCTTAAAAATTACTTGTTTTTTTCTAGCACTTAACCTAACCTGGCCCACATAAATCCACATTTCAAACTTCGTACAAAAATTACGAAAATTCAACAAACTTTAACATTTGCACCCAAAAAAAATTTTAACTTTTTAGTTAGAATTTTTAGAAAAAGTTTGGGTATGCAGTTTGTAGCCCATTAAATTTTAACAGAATAAAGTGCAAATTTCAAACCGTTAGAAAATTGCATTAATTTTTAATAATTTTTTTCGCTGACGGTGTTATGCATTGTGTTCCATATAAATATGAAAGAAAATGCCTAGCACCACCAGCAAAAAAAAATTATTTAAACAATTTAATGAGCTACAAAACTGCATTCTAAAAATTTAAAAAAAAAGTTTAAACGTTTTTTTGGTGCAAATGTTAAGGTTTGTTGAATTTTAATAATTTTTGTACGTAGTTTAAAACATGGATTTATGTGGCGCTGGCGAGGTAAAGTGCTAAAACTTTTATAAAAATATATAAACACTAAATAAAAAAAAATAAAAATAGCCAAACCTAGTCAAAATGTCATTTGACTTAATCAGCTGACCGCAAGTGTATGTACAAATTGTAACCAACTGGTCCATTGGGGACATTGCTGCTGTAAAGTCAGCAACTGCGGAGATACCAGCAGCAGACTTTGGGGACACCTTACGCGCGACGCGATTGTACCAACTCATGCCACTCAATGGAATTGAAAATTCAAAGTGACAGTAGGATAGATAGTGTGTGAAAAAAACATGAAAAATAAAGTTAAGTAAACACGCTTAAATTACAAATAAGAGAATAAAATGCAGGCAAATCAAGTGAAGTGTTAAATCGAAGCGAAAATCTATTTCATACACATTTCTAACATTGTTTATATATTTCGTATTTTTTTTTTTTATTCGCACCCAAGTATTTAAGTACACATAGATATCAAATTTTGCCCCATATTATGTTTTCTCTGCACTTTTTTCATTATTTTATGTCTTTCTTCGCGTTTTATTTATCTTTAAGCTTAAAGTGTTGAATCAAATGCTCCAAGCAGCTTTATATACAAGAAAAGCTTAGAAAACATTTTCATTTCGAATGTTTTGCTTCAATTTTACGCTAGGAAGTGTGGGAAAATATTTTTTCGACACCTGAGCATATTTATGTTTTGTGTTTTTTTTTTTTGTTTTACTTTGGCATAAATACAAACGCATACAAACAATTTGGTGTAAGCGTAAATTTTTCAAGTCAGTTACGAAAATATGCTGGCCGTATTGAAAAACTAGGCAACTTATACATACATATTTATGTAACTAGTAGGGTGATTGGCGAAGTCACCGACTTTTTTTTATGGGATGTCTATAGGCGTTTTTCGTTTCATACAAATCCTGACCTCTCAATAAAAGTTTTGAGTTTTTCGAAGTTTTCAATGTTTTTTCCAGTTTAAGGGAAACCCCTAAATTGTTTTAAAATTATATCCTACGTGGTTTTTGGATGAACAATATATCGAGCCCTTACCGACAAAAAAGTGTAAGCGACATTTTTGTCAAAATTTCGCTTCAGCAAATTTGTGTATTTCTCTGAAAGTACCGCAGAATCTTTGGAAATCAAAAAACTAAAAAAATTCAAAACTATAGATAAAAAGTGACTTATTATTTTTTGTAGGCAATTTCCTAAGCTAACCACCATTTTTTTTTTAAATGAGCGTTAACAAGATTTTCGCAAAAAATCCGTTTTTGTGGCCTTTTACCCCGTGTAACTTCTCTAGCGACATTTGAATCAAGAGGGTCTGTGCAGAAAAGCTTTTTACGGCACCTCGGATCTCACGATGTACCAGATGACTCTTTTATTTGCCGTTGATTAAGAATCGTTCCAATGGTGTCATAAAATCCCGTGGTGCATATTTTTTGGAAAATCCCTACTCCTTAAATTGCCAGCTGACATTCGAATTAGAGATGGGCACGCGACTAAATATTCAATCCCGATGCCGCCCATTCCGAAATTCAATATTTAAGTCCCGAAACCGCCCATCTCGGTGTTTTTCTGAAATATACTGCGGATCACGTGAGTACCGAGATCTATCACTAAGAAAAATGCACATGTCTTTCAAATTAATTTTAAATAACAAAAAAAAATTTAAAGATTTTTTTGTTTTGCTTTGCTGTTCGTTTCCGTCTCAATCAAATATAAAAATTGCTTATTTCATACAACGCTTTAAGAATGATTTTCCAAATTTGCGGAGGTTGCGGGTTTTATCGGGAGTGTCGTGAAAGGATTTTGGTCTCGTCCCGCCCGCAAAATTTCTAAAGAAATTCCCGATACCGCCCATCCCGACGATTTTTAAATCAGTACCGTCGGTCCCGCGGGTCCCGATATCCCACACCCATCTCTAATTCGAATACTTTTTAAAAATGTCTACTTTAAAAAAATATCTACACAAAAATTTCGATTTTTCATAAAATCCCTAAATTTATCCTATTTATAAAAAATCTGTCATTATCTTGTAGTTAGCTTTCCCTAAACTAATTTTTTTTTCGACTGAAATGTCTATGGGTAGGGAATTTTCCCTCATGTACCAACACTGCGTCACAGTGGAGCTGTAGTTAAACTCGTACTTTGGAATAACCCCAAACTGTATAACGGATTAATTAAAGAAATTAAATAAAAACGACATATTAATGAATTTCGTCCACACAACCATTCATTTATATATATGTATGTAAATGCATGTAAATTTGTACTTACTTCCCATAGTCCGCCTTGCAATAGACTTGCCGTTCGCGGATGAAGCACGATTGTTGTCGGTCGAGCGGGCACTGGCAGATGCAGCAACGCAAGCAGGTGGCATGCCACGAACAACCGCCAACCTCGAGAAAAAACCGATCCGAGATTGGCTCCCCACACGCCGCGCATGAACGCAGCTCAGTCTAAAAAAAAAAAAGAGATAATAAAAATTTATATTTAATCTAGTGCCAAAATAAAACATTAAATGCATTGGAATGCATGTACATACATACATAACACATACATACAATCTAACATATATACATATAACTTAATTTAAAATAATTTTGCGAAAAGTCTAAAATGGTAGATGGTAAATTATGTATATGCGAAATTTTATGTTAGTGTAATAAATTTTGGAATTTACGCAAGGAAAAGGTAAACAACAACATTTTAGCGGAGCTGAGCAGTCACTGCATATTTTGTGGAATTTTAATTTTTGGACGATAACCAAGCTACATATTTATTTTTTTTGGGCATACTGATGATGACGTTGGTTAATCATTAAATTATTGTTTTTGTTTGCGCTATCGGAGAGAATAATTTAATTCCTCTTTGGCCCTCTAAAGTTTACAATCTGAAGCACCATGAATATTTATAAGGCGGAGAAATGAGAAATGTTGCACAAACTTGGTGAACAAAGGAAATACAATAAAATGCTAATCTTGTTCAAAGAATATATGTATATGTAGATACAAATACTTATACATATGTATGTATGTAGTTATGAAGGTACATAGAGCAGATACTACATACATATGTATGTACCTGGGTGAAAATTTCTCAACTGGACCTCGGATTTCAGTCAAGTTCGAATGTTTGATTGAAAATTTGTGGATAGAGAGGTTTATAGATGTGAAAGAGATTCTGAGAATTTTTTTTTTTTAATTTTAATTTTTAAAGTTTTTATAAGCAAATATATTTTTAAGCTATCTTTTTTTCAAAACTCATTTTCTCTTAAAGTATTTGACGAAAGTTGATGAAATTTTTTGTAAGCGTAGTGACATTAGAGCTTTAAAAAAATATATTTTTATAAATTAGAATTTAAAATTTTTTAAATTTAAACATCATAAATATTCAAGTTGCTTTAAAAATATGTTCTCAATGAGTGTTTTCCACTTCGTTTATATTTTCGAAAACTGCATTTATTGAATAAAATATTTGTAAAAAAAACAGCCTAAATTTAAAGCGGAAAATATGTATAAATGATTATATGCCTTAAGACTTGATGTCCAGGCTTACTGGTAGGGATATCGGAAAGACATCGAAGTATCGAAAGTATCGATACTTGATGCATCGATGTTTTTCGAAAACTGACATCTCAAGTACATTAATGGCGGTTAAACTTTTCAATTATGCAAAAAAGAGAGGCGACTTTGACCAAAAAATTTAAATGGCCCGAAAAATATTTGGTCATAATATATTTTATTGCGAAATATTATCTGAAAAATCGATGCATCGATATACATATGCGCTTCGATGTATCAAAAAATATCGATGTACATTTCGATTACTGGCACTTAGCCTTTTAGCCTTTGCATGTATGTACTTAAGTATGCAACTAATAAAATGTGAAACTAATTGCATATCGATGGCTGAGTGGAAGATCGACCTATCTCGGCAGCCAGTTCGAAAACATTCTATCTGAAAAAACTTTTCAAGAACGCCCTATTTCAGAATTCGTTTCAAAAACGCCCTATCTCAGCTGCCGATTCATAAACGCCCTATAACAGCATATTTTCAATACATTTTGAAGTGAGATAGGGCGTTTTTGAACCGAATTTTGAGATAGGGTGTTTTTCAATAAAATTCTGAAATAGGGCGTTCTTGAAAAGTTTTTTGAAATAGAGCGTTTTTGAACTGGCAGCCGAGATAGGTCGATCTTCCACTCAGCCATCGATATAAAAGTTTAAGTATTCATAAATTTCCATAATCGATAGATAAATACTCGTATAACATTACTGATAATGATCAAAATATATATGAAATGAAAAAAAAAAAAAATATCAATATCGATACCTATTAAGATCTCAAATGTAATCTAAGCTTCACTGGTAACCTGTTTCACATCGAAGTTACGCTTGTGATAAGCGATTAGTTAAAATAAATATGTATGTGAAGTAATGTTGACTTTTGCCGCTGAGTTGTCACTTATTTGAATTCAAAATATAATATTTTATACTTTACAGCGTTGAGTATAGACCAAGGCACATTAAACAGGTAGTATCAGTAGAGCAAAAACAACATTTGCGTGTATTTTGTTGTTGCTTCTGGTATCGAAAGTGTCAACAACTGTTCTGAATTTTTTCTTCTAAATCAAAGCGTGCCATGTGAAATACAAAAAATTATAAAAAATAAAAAATTGAAATTGGAAAAAATAAAAATTGATGCAACTTTCTTTCCTAGTAAATTTGTTTGCTTCTCGAAGCATTGATCCATCCTTTGCAAGGCCCAGTAATCAGCGGTCGTGCTGCCGAGTTGGGCGAACGTTCCAAAAGCTGCTATTCAATCGCTTGTTTTGTATGGAAAAGGGTTTCACAAGCAAATGGATTTTAACAACTTATAATTTTCGTGAGAAAAAATTAAAAATATTTGACATTTTCGAGACCAAATAATTTGAAAATAAATCAAATCAGCTGCTCTACTGATACTACCTGTTCAATGTACCTTGGTATAGACACAATATTTAAATATTTGGTTTGCCCTCGCCGCCTGTTTTTGTACGATTTAATTCATTTTATAGCCACTGCTCGTGGCTATTTACGTCACTTTGCCCATTAATTGAGTGCCACTTAAGCATTTAATGATATTGAATTTTTAAGGCTTCCATTTTCTTTGATAATAAATCGCTTAGCTTGACGTGAAAATTTGCTAAATACAGTTTTTCAAAATTTCCAGGAGAGAAGTACATATACATATCGTTAGCTTAGAGTGAAAAGTTGCTAAGCCCACTTTACGAAAACTCATATTTTGATAGAGGAGACTAGAAATTGCTAGTTTAGAAAAGGATGAAGGTAATTGTTTTATTCATTCTCGTTTATATTCAACGAAAAGGAAAATTTGCTAAGTCCAAAAGAAGCAACGAAAATCCGATAAGTCCAAAGTAGTACGAAATCTTTTTTTTTTAAGATAATATCACTCTGATTTGTATGGAGTGTAGCTTTGCTTTAAACACGCAAAATGTTGTTAACGTTTAGCAAAATACTTGAAGAAAATGGCGACAAAAAAATGGGACTTAGCTACGTTTCACTCTAAGCTAGCGATATATAACTCTAAGAAATAATTTGAAGTATTCAAGTATTTTCGGCGATACTGAAAATCTATAATTCTTTGGGATGTATCGAGTTTTCGTCAGACAATTCGTTTTGTTGTTTGATAATTTACTTTTTACGGAATACATATATAATTTAAATAAGGTTTTTAGCCAAAAGCCGAAAAATCATACCGACTTTCAATATAAAACTTTTGAATTTGTTCGACAAAGAGCGTCAAAGGAAAAATCATACATTCCTGGAACCACCGAAAATGTCAAAGAAAACACCAACGGCATTCTATGTAATTCGTCTGTATGGATGACGGTGGCACTGTTATCGTCCAAACCTAACAACGAGTGTCGCCAGCTAAAATCAAAAGAGAAACGAAAACTATTTGGGAAAATGTTAAGCTATATATTACACAAACACCAAGGGGACTATTGACTGTGGCCATTGAGGGTAACGCCTCGACAATTGACAGCAATGTACAGCAATTACAATGTACGAATGTATGTACATTTAGGAGTAAATTGAATATAACTGCTATACGAGTTGATGTCCTCCATTTTCGTATACATAAATATGTACATTAGGGTGGCCCAAAATAAAAGTTTAAAATATAAAGCTCCCACCCCTTAGGAGTTTTCTAAATGGAAAAAAACACCCGCACTTTTTGTTCAAAAAATTAAGCTTTTCATGAAATTTATATCGAGAAAAAACACTTTTCGTAGAAATGGTATAGAATTCCTGAAAAACAACATTTTTTGCGTGGAAAACTCCGTCTCTCTTGAAGAGACTTCCAATAATAATACCAAATTTTTTATTTTACCCTTTTTAATACTGGGAATTTTGTATGGGTCCCCCGTTGAACTTTTTTTGGGTGTTTGGGGGACATATAAAAAAATAGTTGCTATTAAAAAATTGTTATATAAACGATTGGGTATAATTACTGAAAGTCTCCTGAAGAGAAAAAAAGTGTTCCTATCGAAAAATATTGATTTTCAAGAATCCCATAACATTTCTACGAAGAAATATTTTTTTTTTCATATAAAATATGTGAAAAACTTTGAGCGCTTCAAAAAACAGGGGTGTAATTTTCTTCTATATTGAATAGTCCTAGGGCGCGAGAGCATTACAACTTTGACTTTACCTTTTTTTACTACCCTAATGTACGTATGCACATAGATATATATGTGTCTTTATTTTTATTGCTAAATATTCGTTTTTATTTGGTTTTATTACGGCGTTCAAGCTTATGTTCACACAAATTGAAAGCCATAAATGGAGGTTAGGAATACAGTGAGGTAAAAAAGTTTTCACTTCAACAAGCTATGTCTGCCGAATATATTGGGTGTTAAATATTTTTGCCACACTCAAACAATAAAAATAAAAAATAAAAAGAAAACGTCATACTGAGCAAATAAAGCGTTCTTAACCAAATATTGACAATATCAAAACATAAAAAAAGAACCTATTTTACTTCAACTTTTACTTTTACTTAGACGCCAAAAATAATTTTTGCAAAAAAAAAAATTATTTGACCTGTGTGCGTGCACTATTTTTTTTTTTAACAACTGCATATAGTACAAACATTTCAATTCACCTTCGCAAAATTTACTCGATTTGTTCAAACCAGAACAACTAGTCAAATTGAATTCCTAAAATTTACTCAAAACGAAAGTCGAAATAGGGCCGAATATTTTTTTGCATCAAAATTAATATTTCAAATTTTTGTGTAAACTTTTCGTGCGCACTGTATGTACTTACATACCTACAATATTTTAACACGCACTCATACAATCGCTCATATGTATCTGTTCATGTACATCGTCGTTGGCGCTGTCTGTCACGTTTACTGCTCTCGCTTTAGTAGCCCACTGTTGTGTGTTGGCTTGCTTGCTTGCTTGCTTACTTCCTTCCGTGCGTCCTTCCTGCTTCCCCTCTGCATTATCCTGTGTGACATTAAAGCGCCAGCAAGGCTGTGTGAGTTGGAATTTTATTGCCTTTGTTTTTTCCCGTCTATGAGTTTATTTTTGTAGATTTTGTTTTTTTTTTGTTGTGGTGTTGGGTTTTGAAGGGGTCGACTCGAATGGTTTGGGTTTGATGTAATAAATAATTTTGACATGTTTTGTGGGCATAGAAGCATGACTTTTGCATTGGTAAGCGGCATTGTCTGTGCATCGCCATTTGTTAGAATATCGCCTATACATACATATGTACATATTTATTTTTCGTGTGTGTTTTATTTTTTGCTTTTGTTTCTCGTGCTTACTTTTATGGCCGCCATGCGCATGCGCGCTGATGGCGTCTAATAAAAAGGCGCCGTTGTTGCTACCGCTATGTATGATGTGTGTGTGTGTTGGTAGTACTAATTGAAAAGCCATTTTGTATATGACAATTCGTAAATTGTTGCAGTTGTTGTAGGTAAGTACTTGTTTTTTTTTTGTTACTGTGTATATATGTATGCTGTTATCCTGCGTGTAAACATGGGCGATTTGCTGTGGTCGTTGGTTGCGGTGAATTTGAACCCTGCGCTTATGTTTCGATATCCCTAAACACACATGCATGCATAGATAGATACATAAGTACATACATACATACATATATGGTTGTAAAATTTATATCCGCATATCGCCGCTTTGTAATGCTAAATAGCAATTGTATTTTTGAAGGACCTTCAGCGTATTGCCGCTGTCAAAAGTGATTTGTGCAAAAATTGAAAGACACAAAAAAAAAATAAAAAATACGAAATGAAATTGTCTGCTTGCCACCCTTCTCATTCTTGTTTAAAAACAAGGTAAACTCGAAAAGAACGTTTCGTCACGCATATTTTAACAGTTGTTTTCACTTCATTTCAAATGCTTGGCAACAACAATTTAGCTGCAGCTTTAAAAGTCATCTCATATTTGCTTGACTTTATCGCCCATTGCACTGCATCACAGCCCTCTTCACTCCTCGCCACTTCAATCCAGTCTATTAGATTCGTTGCGCTACGGTGCCATTTCATACATATTTATCAATTTTTTTTTTAGTTTTAATTTTTATTTTTTTTATGTAACTTTTCTCAAACCACAAAAGCGGAATCTATTAAGTAAGTCGTCGTTGCCTTGCCTTTATAGTAGTTGTTGTCATTGCCTACCGCGTCATCGTTGGTATTTTTGAAAGCAACACATTTTTGATCTTTGCCGCTCGCCATTGTTTACCTTAGCAGTTATTCACGTTCGATGGTAAACAGTAAAAATTTGTCAGTTTAACAACACAAATACGAGTACTAAGTAGCTAATATTGCTACAAACATAAGTACATAAGCGTTTAGTTGGGCGTAGCTTACAAGCACGAAGCTCTCTCCTCTGGCTCTCTGCTTATCTCGCTTGTATTGAATTGGTTCTATGTACTCGTCACTATTTTGGAGTTGTCATTCTGCCTCTGAAGTAGCTGGTGAATATTTATGCATTGTATTTATTTAAAGCTTTATATATTGATCGTGTAAAATTTATAAAAGGGATTTTTATGTAATGCGCCTTCTTTTAATTAGCACTAACTGATTGTATTAATGTATGTATGAATAAACGTGCATATTTTACATTTACGTATATATGACTGTGTCAAATAAAACGATTATTTTTTTCTTTCGCTCTCATATGAAAATTTCGTTGTCGGTTACAAAAAAATTTCTTTGGCAAATTTCATCCCAATCTTCATTTTTCAGTTAGCGCCCGCAATATAAGACTTTTTTTATGAAAAATATTTTTTCTGCTACTTTTTTTATGAAAAAATTAAATATAATCAATAAAAAAACCTTCTTGTAGCCGATTAAATTCTAATAGAGTAAATGCCAGTTTGAAGTAGCTAGGACTTACCGTTGATTTTAGGAACAAATTTTTGTTAACGGTGTCAGTCATATTCTTCCATAAAAAGCGTGCTCGGCGACTTGTTTATATGGAAAAAAATTTACGAAAGCTTCAACAAAAAAATTCGCCAAAAATCATCGGCAAGTTCTAGCTACTTTAAATTGGCACTCTACAAAAAATCTAATGGGCTAAGGTTTAAAAAAGTAGCGGCAAAAAATTTGTAAATGTACACAGATACATACGTCCATATTCAAAGATGTTTTCTTTTCTAGAAAAAATTTTGACTTTTCATTGCTGCTTGAGCGAAGCGGGCAAGAGATTTGTCGGTAGAAGAGAAAACACCATACATTTGAATTTATTTCCCATTCATACTGTTTTTATCTAGTGAAGGAAAAGTATTATTTCAATTTAGAAACCCGAAATTGGAATTTTAATTATTATTAAAATAAATTATAAATTATTTTTTCCGATATTCCCATAAGCGGACATCTCCCACAGGCAGACAAAAAGTAAGTGACCATCGGTGTTCACTTATGGGAGCTTTCAATGTATTACATATTTCAATATTTTCATAAACAAGTGTTTATGTTGCCTTAAATCACATCTACAACTAATATTATATTTTATGTTTTTATTTTATGGTCTAAATAAAATTTATACGTCGGCCTTGACCTCCACACCATGCGCATAAGTATGGGTAAATATGTACACATGTACATGCATGGTATACATATTCGCAAAAAAAAATTACAATCACAAAAACTCAAGAAGTCATTTTAAAGCAAAATTAAATGTTCCCATGCAGCTAAAATAACTATGAACATAAAAATCTTGCACCTTCCAAGCTACATATTTTGTCTTCATCCTCTCTATTGCATTCCTCTGGCATTTATGCACCAAAAGGCTCTACGCCTTTGTACAAATATGTATACGTACATGTACGTATATATATATTTCCACTTTCTCACACTTCAATAAAATCGAATTTGCTTAGGCGCAACTAACTAATAAAAATAAACTTATCGAAGGTGCAATAAAATTGACAAGTCATGCAAGATCTTCTTCATACAAGCAAAACAATAAAAATGCTACAACAATAATGCCAGAGAACATGCGCATAATAAAATTAAATGCTATAAATGCTATTAAAAAAAAGCAGTGAAAATGCAATGAATAAATTAAAGAAAAAAATCAATAAACAGAAGTAATAAAAAATATTCCTGAGAATGCCATAAACATGTAAAAAACAAATATTTACATACTAGAGTTATATAAATCCACACTTTGATTGTCTAATAAAGATTGTAAGTATGTACGTATTAACATAGCGAAAAGATTTTACGTAAAATATGGGGGAGAAATAGAGAGAAAAATGTAGTAAATAAATAGTGAGCGCACATCGACGACTGAGTGGAAGACCGACCTATCTCGGCAGCCGGTTCGCAAAAACCTTATTTCAGAAAATTTTTCAAGAACGCCCTACTTCAGAATTCGATTAAAAACTGCCTATCTCAAAATTTAGTTCAAAAATGCCATATCTCAACTGAAAATATATTGAAAATAAATACCGCACGTTTAGTAATGTAGAGATGTTACTAATTTATGTTTTTGGAGATTTCATTAAGCAATTAATAAACTTGATAAGTAGCATCTCTTCAGCCTAACAGATAACCAAACTTCCCAAATATTGCGAAGATAAGAATTTTGAAATACTTCGTTATAATATTAAACGAGCGATATGATGAGATAGGCCGTTTTCGAACCCAATTCTGAAATAGCGCGGTTTTCAATCAAGTTCTGATATAGGGCGATTTTGAAAAGTTTTCTGAGATAGCGCGTTTTAGAACTGGCTGCCGAGATATGTATGCAGGTCGATCTTCCATCGCCGATGTGTAAGTATTATATTCCGTACTAAGATCACTGGCATTGGTTATGGTAGTGGTATTGTAAAGGGTGATGAATATGATTATGGTATTGGTATTGGTTATGGTAATAGTTGTGGTCATTGTAATGGTATTGGTAACCGTATTGGTGATAAGGATAGTAATGGTAACTTCAATGGAAATAGTAATGTTAAACCTAATTAACAGTAGTAATAGTATTAGTAATAGTAATAGTAATGGCATTCCTAACGATAATGGTAATGTTAACGGAAAAGGTAATATTACTGGTATGGTAATGATGTTGGTAATGCTAGTGGTGATTATTCATGATGATATTAATGATACTGGTAATGTTGGCATTTGCAATTGCCGTCAGTTGGCGCAGGAGACAAACCATTGGCGTGCATTGATGGACTTGGCCAAAATCGCATAGGCGATTACAGCGTCAAACAAGAAGAAGAAAAAAATGTGAGTCATTTACTTTTGTGACAAATATTCTTCGCAGCCAAGGAGCTGAGCAAAAAAAGTACTGATGATTTTATCAAGCGGTTATTGTTGGCGCACTTAAACGCCTTTGAAGAAGCCTTAATACTAATTAGCATAAAATCATATTTAGATTTTAGCATATATTTTATTAACCTAATGCTGTAGTTCTTCATTTATAAATTGCCTTATTCACTTTCTAATAGATTTTCATTGATGTCTGCCCATTTTTTGTAGTAAGTATTTCCCCATATGCTATGGGAACTGAAGGTGAAAAGCTACTGAATATAAAATTTTCTGCATACATTTTCCAAGTAGTTGCCACCATAAGAGCACCCATGACAAGTAGAAATTTCATTGAAAAGTAAAGACGAATTAGTGTCGCTGCTTTGTTATGCGCTCTCGAGCCTACCGGCTTTGTTCAAGATTTTAGTTTTGTTCCGCCTATTTTCCACAGTTTCATAAACTGGTTGCCCTTATTTTGAACAAACTAAAGTGACAATCGGAAGGCAGTATGTAGTAGCTAGTGCATGTAAAGTACTTATGTATGTATGCACATATGTACATATTTATTTATGTGTGAACTAGTTTTTAAATAAAAGATTGATAATAATATGAGTGCAACGTACATTTTTGTATGTACATTAGGGCGGGTTAAATGCGCTTATAGCACAGAAGAATTCTACGTGTAATTCACAGCAAATTTGCCGAAGGAACCATGGGTCTAAAATCAATTTAGAATTTGGCAAATTTCGAAAATAAGTTTCTTAGCATTTTGCTGTAGTGTCTTAAAGAAGTTTTTAAATGTTGTATAAAAACATACTATTAAGGGTTTCGTGGTTTGCGTAATCCATTTCTGCAGTTATCTTCCTTTTAAGCTTCCACCAGAGGGCGCAACGGTTAAAATTTTCACATTTTCTTCGAAACCTATTTTCGCAATTTGACAAACTCAAAATTAATTTTAGACCCATTGTGTCCTCGGCAAATTTGCTTGGAATAACAACTAGAATTCTCCTGTGCTATAAGCCCATAGTAAAAAAAAAAAATTAATTGACCCGCCCTAATGTACACACAATGTATGTATGTACGCATGAGAGTCTCTCATAAATCTGTTCGCTGCTTGAAATCGATCGCATCTCCACCAGCGGAATTGTCATTGCGCAAATTGAGTGATCATCAATAATAACAAAGTGATCCGTCATCAGTATTGAGCGCTGTCATGCCGTCAAAATACTATGAGACAGTGGCAGTAATATCAAATTGGTTGAGACAATTGTGCATGAACATAAAGAAAGTCAACCTCTTTGTGGAATACTTGCGGATATTCACGCATCATGCGACGATGCGCCCAGTCGAGGCGATCACTTAATTTTCAGTAAGTGATTGTGAAGCCTGATAAGTCTTCGTTTTCTTAGTTACATTTATTTACTTTCGCTTTGTATGCCTTCCATGTGTGTGTATGTGTATCGGTGTCACATGAATCAAATAATCAGATTTTTTCAATTGACAATCGCAGTTTGTTTTCACTACTGTAACAGTATTTGGCACTTTGCGAGTGTATAAATATACGAGCTGTCGAAAAAGCGTGAGAATAATGTTTGTTTAGTAAAAATGTTAGCAAAAAAAACGAAAATAAAGCGGATTGTTTATTGTTAGGTATTATTTTTCTAAAGTGCTAAAAAAAATCAAGGCATAAAAACAAAATACTTTTAAAATATATACATACATATGTACATGCATAGGGGCGCTCTTTTTTAGATCGGACGGATTTCGTTAAAAAAATTAAGTCGTATATCCGATTTGCTTCAAACTCGGTTTACGTGTTCTTTACATAAAATATGGTGGCACCTATTCCAAGATTTCTTATTTTTATTTTTTTCTTCAGAGATATGATCTGTCGAAGTTTGCAGGACGAAATTCGATGATGAGATTGTGCGTATATTAGTCTTCAAACATTCATTTTTTCAAAAAAAAATTAT